TGCTAGAAACGATCAACTTTTTGGTGCCATCCCTATTTTTACATGGCTTTCTGTTCTGCACGGACAATGAATAATTTCATCGAGTTGTCAGAACGGCAAGTGGGTGCAGCGACTCCCGTCGAAAAAAAGAGCGCGCAGCACAATGTCGCGAACGGATTAAATCGCACGTTATCGCAAACGGTTATTTATAGAGCACGGTGTCGATACGCCGTGAGGAAAAGAAGTCCCTCGCGTCTACTCGACGAGTAGAAAGATGCAAACGCAACGAATGCAAGTTCCGCCGCGAAATAAAGTGCCGCTGGAAACGATGAAGCGAAAACTCCCTGTCCCAGTGCACCCTTTACACCAACGCACGTCTCTTCTCTCTCTCAACCACTCGTGATTCGAAGAGGCGCTTTAGCGCCTCGGGTCAATGCAGGGCACGTGGGCAAAAATGAAAAACACTTATCATTTAATTCAAACCCGAGCTATTGAGTCTACTCCGAGTTCCCGCGGTTTAGCAGTTATTGAGATTTAATAATCTAAGGGTCTCTGAAATCGTCGGCTCGCACACACGGCGCGAGTGTCTCTTAATAGCAGAGATACACCGTGTCGGTCTCGCGCACGCGGTTTTCGCTACGTTTATACTTGGCGCGAGACACCATCGTGTCTCTTGATGAATCCTGCGTATTTCTAAAACGGAAAGAATAATAGAAGAAGAGCTGTCGCAGAGTTAGGACCGACTTCGGAGCATCCGGATCTTAAATTCTCAAGCGACTGCATCTATCGAGCCAGACTGTCTCACTCTCTCTCTCTCTCTCTTTTTCCTTTCTTTCTCCTCCCCTCTTAATTCTGTGTAGTGCTTTTCTCCAAGTCCGAAGTCCGACTTGCGCGAGTCTGAAAATTTGACGAGGTGTATAGACGAGCCCCGCGCGCTGGCGCACAGGCGGCCGAATCGGCGGACGCGGAAACATTCGCGGATGAACCTTCCGTCGGACGAATCAATAACGGGAACCCTCGGGTGTGAAGGAGACACCTCCGGAACGGCGGCAGCAGCGGACCCGCTTGCTCGCACACTTGCGCGCGCGGGGATGTCCCACGCACAATGTGGTGTACCTTCTGCGCGCGGCCCCCCTCCCCCTCCCGGCATTTGTCCACCCGCTCGAGCACGGCGGTGAGTTTTGTCTTGGGCGCAGGTAGCTACGGGACCCCCGAGTTTTTCTTATGAATTTCTAGTGTTTATTTTTCTTACATACCAACAACCGCATCAAGCTGTGTCACATGATGCGCACTCGTGCCGTGAAAAGCGTCACGAGAACGTGACCGGCAATGACAGAGGTTTGATCTTCGGGTCTTTTCGGAGGAAGGAATTTTTAGTCGCCGGGAACGAACACGAAATATTACACAGAAAATTGTGAAACATAACTGAGAAGAGCATTTAAAGTAAAACTTGAATGTATGAACAGAATATTTTAAGTATGCATATTTGGCATCTGTGTACGGAGATGTCTCTTAATTGTCGAGGAGAAAGATGGAAGCTCTGAGACAGAAACTCTTTTAAATCGATACAAAATTGTGCGCGATGGGAGAAGAAATATGAAGGACGGGGTGCTATTTCGCCCAGTTACGTTACTGAGCAAGATAGAGGGGCACGGGACGGCTTGCAACGTGTAACATGGCCGAGGCCTTGTCTCTCCCTCCCTCTTGCCGTCCTCTCTACCTTGCGGACGAGCTTTCAAGGTCGGTTACATTCAACTGGAAAATCACTCGCCGAGATACCGTTAGATAGCGCCACGTTACAGTACCCGCGAAACACGTGGTGCGGCGAAAGTCGCGCGATTGTTGCGGAGAGGGGAACCTACTGCAGTGCCATTCATCCAAGAAATATTCCCTAGAATTCTCTAGAATTCTAAGGATAATGTAAAATATGTTAAAATTTCTATATGATGTTGCGAAGAATCAAGGCATCGACCATGTAGTCTGTATAAGGAGACCGAACTCCCGTAATGTTACAGAGTAAGCTGACATTTTCGAGAAATATTTGTTTCGAAAAGAATCACTGGGAGCGCTGTCAACGGACAACTCGATTCGTATTCGTGCGTGTCACATGGTTGTCATATGCGTGAAACGTTCGTGAGAGTTCTGCTAGGTCTAAAGCATTGTCTACATAGAAGTCGTAAAGTCGTAGTCGTAAGAATAGTCGGCTGTGATTGGTCAATTCTTATGTGTCTGACGAAATTGACCAATCGCAGTCAATTATTCTTACGACTACGACTTTACGACTTCTATGTAGACGAGGCTTAAAATGAGAGTCGCAGAGTCGCAGTCGTAAGAATAATCGACTGAGATTTTGTCAGACACATAAGAATTGACCAATCATAGTCGACTATTCTTACGACTACCACTTTACAACTTCTATGTAGACGAGGTTTTCTGCTGGGTCTGAAATAAGAGTCGCAGAGTCGCAGTCGTAAGAATAATCGACTGCGATTGGTCAATTTCGTCAGACATATAAGAATTGACCAATCATAGTCGACTATTCTTACAACTACGACTTTACGACTTCTATGTAGACGAGGCTTTAAGGTCGGTCTACAATAAGGTTGTAAGCAGGTTTTAGCGCAGTAGCAGTGAGTCGTAAGAGACCGACTTCCGGTGTAGTAGGTCGTAACAGTAGTTGTAAGCGAAATGAACCAAATCCATTTCTCACGGCGTACGACCTACGATCTACAGCGAATAGCGAGCAGTCAAGCACAGTAGCCATATTGAAATACGTCTATGACAGCGAGATGAAAACGACGAATGGTGAAACATGTCGAATAAAGAGGAAGCCGGCGTTCAAGATTATAATTTTTGTATGGAGGTCGACGACGAGGTCGACGAAAATCTGTTAGATCAGCGTGAGCTGATTCTGTCCCCACAGGCAGGCTTTTCTCACATCCATCATTCCTCTTTCTTAACCTAAACTCGAAAGCACAACAGCGCCGTTCTCAATTGATTGTAGATGAGCCTAGCCGTAGGAATCGTGTTACGGCTTGCGATCTTAAAACTTACTCACTACTGCTACTGCGCTACAACCTTATTGTAGACCGACCTTTAAGCCTCCGCTACAATGATTCTCGGTTCTGTCTACAATGGTCGTAGTCGTAGTCGCTCGATAAGAATTGACCAATCGCAGTCGATTATTCTTACGACTACGACCATTGCCGTGCGTTCTTTTAGGCATCGGATACAGCAGTTTTTGCAGTAGTTCATTCTTTTAGTCCGACTGCGCAGTCGACTGCACCGCAGATTTCCGTCAGCCGGCAAATCCGATGCGCAGCGGTTGCCAAATCCGATGCCTAAAAAAACGCACCCTTGTAGACAGAACCGGGAATCATTGTAGCGGAGGCTTTAGTGAGAGAGATGAGGAAGTGGATTGTGTATCTCTAAAACTTGTGAAAATTATGAAAGTGAGCGAATTCACAGGTTGAAATTATAAATATTCTAGTATTCATTGACTTTTGTAATTTTCGTAAGTTCCAGAAATCGACCTCCAGATAATAACGGGTTATTACGGCTGTATTTACGAGCCAGTGGGATCAAGATCGGTAAACTCATGAGCGAATCCTTAATCCGTTTGTGCGACGCCAGCGCTACAAGTGGCATTTTTTATTCAATATTTTGCAATAATGTCGGCTTATGTTTGGTAACGTAAAGCCTAGCTCGATCTTCCTATACAGACTCCATGGCATCGACACATAGTACTGGACGAAGTATGCGTTAAAATTTCTTTAATTTTTCGTGTTCCGGGATCTAGAAAGAGAAAAATAGATGTGTGGGCACGGATCTCTCACTCTACTACGTTTACATTGATTGAATTCTTTTGAGGAGAAGGGGAACACTACCGTGCTCGGAATCGCTACTGCCCACACATCTTGTCTGTGATTATTGTTTACACGGCACCCTAAGGCTGGATTCACATGGAGCGTAACCTGCGTATCACCAATCACAGAGTCATTCTGATAGAACTGTTCCAATAATTCCGTTGAAATAGTTCTGTGATTGGTAATACGCAGGTTACGCTTACGCAAGTTACGCTCCATGTAAATCCAGCCTAATCGGGTTTAATAACATCCGTAGTTAAGGGGCTGGCCAATCACAGTCATTCCATTCTTCTGAGGAATAGTTGTGATTAGCCAGTTTTATAACCACAGATGTTATTAAACCCGATTAAAGCCTCAGGCTGGATTCACATGGAGCGTAACTTGCGTAGCGTAACCTGCGTATCACCAATCACAGGGTCATTCTGATAGAACCGTTTCAATAATTCCGTTGAAATAGTTCCGTGATTGGTGATACGCAGGTTACGCTTAGGCTGCGGTCCCATGGACTGATATTTCTCGCGTAACGCGTATCGCGTAACCAATGAATTGCGACGATTGACATTTCCGTTGGAACATTTCAAAAGAATGAACGATATGATTCGTTACGCGATACGCGTTACGCGGAAAAATCAATCCATGTGGCCTTAGCCTTAGGGTGGAGTCCCATAGAGCGGAATACGCGGAAGCGGAATCAGCGGATCGCCAATC